TGTAGAATTATGATGATGATATGGAGACACTATCAAATGTGATTATTTAACAGATGACATCCACTGATTTATGGAATGAAAATGTGTATGCTCTTTAGAAGCAAATATGATAAATATTTATAACTTTAAATAAGTTGCTCATGTGAGTTCCCTGTTCTAATAGTTGGTTCTGCTTTAGTGAATATCATGTCACATGTTACTTAATTAAATTAAATATTTAGCATTAGAACTGGTTGTTATTCAGACTCTGTCCTTCATAATGACTTCATGTATGCATTTATATACAGGACAGTATTATTAATTTTCACTGTTGACAATGTTAGATTTTAGTAATTTTGATTGTGTAGTAACAAGATTTTTTGATAATATCACTTATCCTTTGTGACATCCATCTATACGATACAATTCAGTAAAATATTTTCCCTACCCCAAAGTATATAAGAAAATAAAATAATTGCCTAAGAAAATGCCACTTTCCATTTTTAAATCTGATTTTATGGTCACAGTGGATGATCAGAGCATCATTCAAGTCAGACAAAAGAATTTTGAGAATATGTCACATTTGCATGCAATATCTGGATCTGAAATATCTTCCACAAAATTCTGGGTTCAATAGAGACACTGCTTCTCCAGTGTTATAGAATGACCAAAATAATACCCTGGTCACCACTGTGAGATAAAACCAGCGCTGTGTATTCCCAGAGCACATCTTTGATATAAATATGCAGGACGTTTGTATTTTAAAGTATCATTATAAGAGAACTGTAATATCACTTAATATGAATTATTAAAGTTTAATGGGTCATGGGAAGAATTCACTTTCTGCCCTGAGAGAACTGGGTCTTATTGTACAGTGAATACTAGCAACAAAACTCAGTAGGACCAAGTTCTCTTAATTAGCAGCCTCATTCAGATTTTCACCTGAAGGGTACATGGAAATAATTCTCTATGTGTGTTTTGGAAGCATGGGATGGCATTTTAAAATTCATAAGACTAACCCCAGGGAGCAGACTGAGCTGTCTCTGAGCTTTCAAAGTTGGTGTGTTGTTCTTTTCGTTTCTGTGGAAAGAGGGACTGGGTGTGAGAGAGTGAAAAAACTTGGTTGAGATCCAAAACATGGCAGTATATATGGAGAGCTCTACAGGAGACCCCTTTCTTTTTCTCACCACTGTCTTACAGCAGGCCCAAGTAAGGGTAAGAGCCTATCTTTTTTTTTTAATGTATTTAGATAATGGAACAGAATTGATTTTCAGAACGATTTTAAATTGTTAAGACTGAAGAATAATATAGCTTGTGCTTCAAATGATATTAAGTTATGCCTAGTGGTAAATCCCTGGTGATATAGCCACTTGATGGAATTGTATTCATTTATAAGAAGGATAAAACTATGGATATACATGACAGTATGATGAGCTGTATGAACATTAGAAGACACCATGACCTCATTTTTTTTTGCTCATAAGTACCTTTTTTATTTATATTTTTATTATTTACAGTTTATTCACTTTGTATCCCACATGTAGCCCTTTCCTTCTTACCCTCCCAATCCCACCCTCCTTCCCCTTTCTCTACCCTTGCTGGTCCCCCAGTCCACTGATAGGGGAGGTCATCCTCTCCTTACTTCAGATCCTAGTCTATCAGGTCTCCTCAGGAGTGGCTGCATTTTCTTACTCTGTGGCCTGGTAAGGCTACTCCCTGCTCAGGGGGAGGTGATCAAAGATTAGGCCAATCAGTTCATGTCAGAGACAGTCCCTCTTCCCATTACTATGGAACCCACTTGGACACTGAACTGCCATGGGCTACATCTGAGCAGGGGCTCTAGGTTATTTCATGAATGGTCCTTGGTTGGAGTATCAGTCTCAGAAAAGACCCCTGTGCCCAGATTTTTGGCTCTGTTGCAGGTTTTGGGAACTTTAAATTGCATTGAGAAGATACTATCTTATAAGAAGATAATCCACATATATGTACAAATCTTAAATATATATCAGATCCCAATTTCAACACTGTGTAATTATTCACAAAATACAGTTATCACCTGTGCAGCTGGTTAGTGAAGACTTACTGGTTTCTGTAGCTGTGACACTCAGGTTGTACCATCCACTGACCTCCCTGTCAACCTTGTTAACAGCAATGATTGTTCCATTGTCATTGATGAGTCTTATATGCAAATAATACCCAAGGATAGATTTTAAAAGACAGCAAGGTAAGATTAAGCAGGAAGTGGAAGAAGACCCTGTAATTTATTAATACTTGGAAGTGAATGTACAAATCACTAGATCATTCTAGGTTTCACCCAGAATCTGGAAAAAAAAAATGTGTCAAATAGCTTGTTTTGACTTTATCTTTGAGACACATTCTTACTGTGCAGCCCGTACTGGCCTCAAAGCTGTGATCTTTCTGCCTCAGCATCTGGTGAAGTGGAAGTTTCTGGTTTCTTTGGAAACTCAGTTGTGTCATTTGAATATGTTTTCTATTTTGGTTCCAAGTGTGGGATGTGGGTATGTTTTCCCCTACAGAAAACAGTCCCCATGAAAGGGCACCTGATGTTGGTCAACTGAAAGCTACCTTTGATGAGGGGCATGGTTTTTGTGAGTGGCAAATCATCCTTAGGGGACTTTGTGAAGGGTTAAATAGAAGAGTGAAGACAGCGAGACAAAGCTTTCTGCATTGCTATGCTTTGCATGGCTATTGTTTGCATCTTTCGCTGGTCTTTGCGGAGAGAAGCATCCTAGAGAACTGCTCATGCTGCCTTGGTGGAGTTTCGCCACTTTAGCAGACTCCGTGTGATCTGGGCAGAGTCTATCTGCTTCTACTGAATCTTTCCACCTTTGTTGACTTGTGTTGCTCCTGCTGCTTTGCTAGACTGCTGGTATCCTGATGACTGAGTTTGGTAATTCCCAAAGAACCTGCAGATCCTTATCAGCAGGAAATAGATAAAATGGGTCTACAGCACCTTTCTCCACAAATCTCCTACTTAAAGTCTGGGAGTTGGAAACGGGTAAAGGAGCTTAAGAATTTTAAATAAAGTAAGCGTTTGAAAAATCTAAGCCTACACAATGGAGTCCTGGTCATTACAGGTGTGCACTCCATTTCCCACTGAGGTTTTCAACTTAAAGGAAGGCAGAAGATGAATTTGATCATGCCCATGAGTTCTTTTGATTTCTGTAAAATGTTGATTAAACACCAAACTGAGGGACAACACCTGGAAGATATTTAATAAACATTTGTAGCATACATTTCAAAGGCTAGATTAGACAAGCAGTCAAGGAATTGTGAATGTTGGAGACCTAGAACTTTCTCCTACCAACATAGGACCAATTAACTGGCTCTCACAATATAAAATTTACTATTTTTTTTGACTAGGAGAATTAGTGAACAATACTCTGTAACAAACAGAACATTAGGAATCATTTATTAGACATATTCCTCACTCTTACTGTGACACATTATTTTCAAGCTTCCTTAAGTAAATGCAAAGTCTTTAGTAAAGCCTATGAATATATTAAGGGTTTCTAGCTAAATATGATGTGTATACCTATAGCCCCAGCATGAAGGAAAATGATTAAAAGACTATGTGTTTGAGACCAGCCTGAGAGTTCACAACCCATCTGGGTTATATAGTGAGATAAAAAGTAAAAATAATGAAGGAAAGAATTCCTAATTATGAGAATATTCAATAGACATTAGTGCTGTATATCTGTGTATGTATGTATATTTGTGTGTGCAGATGTACATAACATTGAAAATTTTTACATGACCATGTATCAATGTCAACAGTGTTTATTGAAGTATTAGGTTCATGTTAGTTTTCTCCTTTCACATACTTCACAATGTATTCATCTATGCCTAGACACAGAGCACGATGTTAAGTAATTTTTATGAATCATTATAGGTAAGCCTTATCTCAACTTTAAAAACTGGACACAAGTGGCCAAAGATCCTATCCAACAGTGCAGACCAAAGTTTTGATCTGACATTAATTGTTTCGGGTATTGGCATGGTCCGTAGTACAGTGCTTGGTGAAGTGATACTACATTTAACAGTGTTGGACTGATGACATTGATCTTGGTGTTGTTCATCATGTTCTGAAGCAAAACAGAGAAAACTGAAACTTCACCTAGACTCTTTGTCTCCACCCATGTGAGTTTATAGAAGATTGGCATGTAGATGGTTCATTTCTTCTGTGAGGAGACAGTTCATTTTTATTTGATGATTTCTTAGCTCATGGAACTCAAACCTTTGTTGCAATCAAAACATTCCTTCTGCTGACTTAAAAGACGCATGGTTGCCTAGACATGCCCTGGTGCATTTGAACTTTATAGACCTGCTGTATTGTACATGGCAGTTTATAATCAATAGAAACATACCAGTTCCAGAGGTAGGGAAGTCCAAACCTAAACTGTTGGCAGTTTCAGAATCTGGCAAAGATCTGCTGCCTGGCTTAAAGGTGATACAATTTCATCAGGCATCCACAAAGCAGGAGATGGTTGAAAATGGATAACCAAAAAATCTAACACGTACTCCTATGTGTCCATTCCTAAAAAACTAGATTTCCAAGCTTTACTTTTGGGTCTCAATGATACTAAACATATAATAAAATTTGATAATGATGCATAATTAATTTTCATAGTTGATCATGTGGTTTGAAGTTCAGGTTTAGACAGTGATACATTTCTCAGTTAAGTGGCTCACACCATTAAGACCTTGACTTTCCTTTAATTATACGAGAATATTATCTAAGTATCGCAGCTGTTCCTAAATAAGAAGATCACTCAGCATGTAGACACTAATGGGAACAGTTTTCATCTTCTTAGCATACCGTGCTGTGGGTTATTGTGTTCTATTTTCCTAGAAAGTAGAAATGCCTTTTCTTAGAATAAAAATGTTCTTTACTACATAAGCAATAGATAGGAGCTGTGTAGATTTAATGAAATAAGAAAATCCAGAGAAACTGACAACATTTATTCCTATCTGTTGTGTTTCCTTTTTCCTTTTTACAGATGGATCCTATTCAGAAAGCTGTAATAAACCATACATTCGGAGTTCCTCTTCCTCATCGGAGAAAGCAAATCATCTCATGCAACATTTGCCAGTTGAGATTTAATTCTGATGTGAGTGTACAACTTAGTTGCCACAAAATGTATTTTATAGTTTCAATTTTCAGTTTCTTCCCCCCTAGAAACTGATCATGTCCAGATCCAAGGAAAAGACACAACTCTATGTGTTTTTTAATTTGGAGCTTCCCATGTTATGTTTGGTTATTTACTATAAAAATTGCATGTACAGTGAGTTGAATTTGAAGTTTAGTGGGTTTTCTTTTGATAAACATGAGAATACTTAATGTATATCATATGCTTGTCTTAGAGATATTCAGAGCCAGTGAAGATTTTAATAGATTTCATGTCTGGAGTAAGCCTGTTCATTTTCAAAGTCCAAACCTTTGGCTTCACCTCTTTCAGCAAGCTCTAAGTTTTAAATCAGTGGAAAGTGTGTGTGTGTGTGTGTGTGTGTGTGTGTGTGTGTGTGTGTGTACATGCAGGTGTGTAGAAGTGCATTTGAATAGGAGACTCCAAAGACCTCAGTTTCTGAAGCCCAAGTAGATTGAAAATTCCATGGGGATCAAAATAGAAAGGAGATGTCTGGGGACCTGGTCAGTGGTTTGAAAGTGGAGGCTGTTCACATTGTTTCCAACTTTCCTGAGGAAGGTAGATTGTGGATTCAGTCTAGTGATACAAATGGTGACATGTAGCAAATATGAAAGTGTTTGTGACTCCTTCTCAATCCCCAACTCAGCTTTGTTAGTCCTGAGAGGTACAGAGGAAAGATTTGTCAATTTAAAGAAAAAGTAGGAGTTGGATACCTAGTATTCAAACTATGAGAAAATAGAAGGCCCGTGCTGTGCCATCCAAAGGGATCTGCACCATGGGTGCCATTACCTGGGCCATATGAAGGTTATCTGCTGAGAACTCTGTAGGCAGGGGCCAGCCACATGAAATACAAATGGCCATTAAACATGGTTTATTTCTTTTGTGAGGAGGACCATTAATTTTTAATTGATTTCTTTACTCACAGAACTCAAATCTTTTGCTGCAATCAAAACATTCTTTCTGCAGCCTTGAAAGAAGCGTGGTTACCTAGACCTGTCCTGGTACATTTGAACTTTACAGACCTGTTGTAGTGCACTTGGGTAGTTTATAATCAATAGAAAGTTACTAGTTCCAGAGGTTGGGAAGTCCAAACTTAAATTGTTGGCTGTTTCAGAATCTGGCAAAGATCTGCTGCCTGTCTTATAAGTGATACATCTTCACCAGGCTTCCACAAAGCAGAATGGATGAAGAAGCTCCAACTTAAGGAACTTCAGTTTCTTCCCTTATGATCTGTTCATGTTAACAAAGGCCTCACATCTTAATGTATCACCTAAATAGTTAGAATTTTAACATGAGAGTTTGTCTGGAACAGAAACACCACACAATCACCTCACTTAAACACTTTAAATAATATATAAGCTACTTAAAATGAAACATTAAACATACATGATTTCTTTTTTTGTTTTAGTATTTTTATTAATAAGTTTATTCACTTTGTATCCCACCTGTAGCTTCTTCCCTCTTCACCTCCCAATCCCACCCTCCCTCTCTTTTGTCCACCCATGCCCCTCCCCAGGCCATTGATAGTGGAGGTCCTCTTCCCCTTCCATCTGATCCTAATCTATCAGGTCTCATCAGGACTGGCTGCATTGTTTTCCTCTGTGACCTGGTAAGTCTGCACCCCCTAAGGGGTAGGTGATCAAAGAGCAGGCCAGTTTATGTCAGAGACAGTCCCTTTTCCCACTACTAGGGAACCCACTTGGACACTGAGCTGCCATGGGCTACATCTGTGCAGGGGTTCTAGGCTACCTCCATGAATGATCCTTGGTTGGAGTATCAGAACTCAATATAAAACCAGACACACTAAACCTGTTAGTAGAAAAAGTGGGGAAGAACCTTGAACTCATTGGCACAGAAGACAACTTCTTGAACAGAATACCAATAGCACAAGTTCTAAAATCAACAATCAATAAATGGGACCTCATGAAACTGAAACGTTTCTGTAAAGCAAAGGACACTGTCGTCAGAACAAAACGACTACCTACAGATTGGGAATGGATCTTCACCAACACTAAATATGACAGAGGGCTAATATACAGAACATATGAAGAACTCTAGAAGTTAAAAAAGCAACAAATCAAGTAATCCAATTAAAAAATGGGATAGAATGCTAAACAGAGAATTCTCAATAGAGGACTATCCAATGGTAGAGAGACACTTAAAGAAATGCTCAACGTCCTTAGTCACCAGAGAGATGCAAATCAAAACGACCCTGAGATTTCACCTTATAGACATCAGAATGGCCAAGATCGAAAACTCAACTGACAACACATGCTGGAGAGGATGTGGAGAAAGGGCAACCCTCCTCCATTGCTGGCGGGAAAGTAAACTTGTACAACCGCTTTGGAAAACAATCTGGCTCTTTCTCAGACAATTAGGAATAGCACTTCTTCAGCTATACCACTCCTAGGCATATATCCAAAAGATGCTCAAATATACAACAAGGACATTTGCTCAACCATGTTCATAGCAGCTTTATTTGTAATAGTCAGAAGCTGGAAACAACCCAGATGCCCCTCAGTTGAGGAATAGATAGAGAAACTTTGGTACTTTTACACAATGGCATACTACTCAGCAATTAAAAACAAGGAAATCATGAAATTTGCAGGCAAACTGTAGGAACTAGAAAAGGTCATTCTTAGTGAGGTATCCCAGAAGCAGAAAGACACACAGGATATACACTCACTCATAACTGGATATTAGACATATAATATAGGATAAACATACTAAAATCTGTATATTTAAAGAAGCTAATCAAGAAGGAGGACTCTGGGTAAGATGTTCAATCCTCATTCAGAAAGGCAAAGAGGATGGACATCAGAAGAAGGAGAAAACATGGAACAGGATAGGAGCCTACTACAGAGGGCCTCTGAAAGACTTTACCCTGAATGGTATCAAAGCAGATGCTGAGACTTATAACCAACCTTTGGCAGAGTGCAGGGAATCTTATAAAAGAATAAGAAGAGTGGTGGAGATAATCTAGAACCCTGACAATGCAGCCACTTCTGATGAGAACTGATAGACTAAGATCAGAAAGAAGGAGAGGAAGACCTCCCCTATCAGTGGACTTGGGGAGGGGCATGCATGCAGAAAGGGGGGAGGGTGAGACTGGGAGGGGAGGAGAGAGGCACTTATGGGGGCATACAAAATGAATAAAATGTAATTAATAAAAATAAAAATAAATAAAATAAAATAAAAAGAATAAGAAGTGATAGGAAGTCTGGAGGGGACAGGAGTTCCTCAAGAAGAGCAACAGAACCAAAAATCTAGACAAACATGATTACTTTAGATAGGATATTTTGGTGTTTCTTTAATTTATTTGTTTTTAAAAGCTGAGCATCTATATTCAGTTCATCTATGTTCAGTTCACCTATGTTCATCTATGTTCAAATCAGAACCCTACATTCCAAGATTCAAAACTTGTGCTGTAATTTGTGGGCTCACTTCTGGACACTGAATAAATAAAAACACATTTTTGTCTCCATTATTCAAAGTGGCTTTTGCTTAATTCCTGTTCCCCTTAAATCGAATTGAAATTTTCATTTGAAAATTACCACATAAAACTGACATAAAAATGTCAAGACTTCACTAAACCAAGTAGCCAGCTTTTCACATGTGATGAGGCCATTTTAGTATTTCCATCTTCCAACAATGTCACTGTCAATTTTTTCCACTCTATTAAAAAGCAATTATGCATATTAGGAGTCAGAAGAATACTTCAAGGTCATTGGACTTAACATCCATTGGACCTTGCACTGAGTGGAAGAATTCTACTTACCATATCAGACAAGGGCTTTGGATTGATCATTCCCAGTGATGAGCCACTCATTTCAGATAATGGTTCCAATTTAAGAAGTGTTTCTCTTCCCCTAGATATATATCAAAATCATCGTTAGTAACTGTAAATGTTGTCTAATAACCCTTAAGTGACATTTACATTTATAAATTAACATTAACCTGAAGGAGGTAATACAAGAACTTTGCCATACTTATTTTCATTTTCTTAAATATAATCTTATTGTCTTATTAGAAGTAAAAAGACCTTTAATTTGCTAAGTGTTTCTAGGTGACATAGAGTCCCCATGTATGTTTATGAGGGACAGCTGGATTCTATTCCCACAATTTTACTTCGAGGGCTGTATGGTATGTGTTCAAAGGAACATAACCAAGTTATTGTGGTATTTGGGCTTACAGATATAGGTCACTATTAACCACTGCAGACTTGTCCCATCACTAGACAGTGTGTGTATTATTTATCAATTCAAACTGATGCTGGAAAAAACAGAAATATGTCACCACATTGTCCTAGGGGCAAGAAGTCTAACATAGGCCTCTCTGGATGCTATTAGGGTGCTGAGAAGATTTTGTTGTTATGAAGGGCTCCAAAGAAGGAAAAACACATTTCCTTCTGGTTTCCAGTTCATAGAGGTTATGAGCCTCTTCACTTTTCTTGATAACAAAGGGGTGTTTGGGTCTTTGTTCAGTTTCATTGAATCTTCTGCCTCACTCTTGCATATCTACAGATCATACTGAGACAGTCTAAAAATAGAGGAAAATTTCCTCACTTTTAATTCAGCTGACTAGCAATTTTAATTGCATCTCCTAACCCAACCCTACTTTCATATCATATATCACATATGTAGTTTCAAGCAATATGATTTTATCTTTGGGAGTCACTCTCTACCATGGATACTTTCTGAGGAAGTCTAACCATGGTTCCAACAACATATCATGAACATTAATTTATTTCATAGTCCAGTTTATTTGCTCTGTGTTTATTAAGCTACGGTGAATCCATTGCACTTACATTTTCTTCTTATACTTAATGTTGGATATAAACTCATCATATAGGATTTATCTTTAAAGGATTTGTATTATGTTTGTTTATAGGTATTTATACAGGTATATGCATGGGCATGTGCTTGTCATAACGAGCATTTGAAGGTCAGAGTCTATCTCTGTAT